AACAACAACAACAACATATAGATTGAACAGGTATGAAGATAGACTAAATCCCTGATGTACTCCCTTTCCAAATCCAAGCTATACAATGCTCCCCTGCTTTGTTCACAGTAGCCTTCTGGTCCAGCTATAGATTCCTCATGAGAACAATGAAATGCTCTGGGACTCCCATTCTTCTCAATATCAGCCACAACTTGTCATGATCCACATGGTCAAATGCCTTTGCATAGTCAATAAAGTACAAATAGACATTCTTCTGGTATTCTTCATTTTCAGCCAGGATCCATCTAACATCAGCAGTGATATCCCTGATGCCACAGCCTCTTCTAAATCCCACTTGAACTTCTGGCAATTCCCTATCTATGTACTGTTCCAACCATTTTTGAATGGTACTCAGCAGTATTTTACTTGCATGTGATATAAATGATATTGTTAGAGAATTTTCACATTTAGTTGAATAGCCCTATTGGCATAGGAACAGATATGGACATCTTCCAATCTGTTGGCCAGTCAGCCATCCTCCAAATTTCCTGGCATAGACTGATGAGTATCCAAGGCTGCATCTGTTAATTGAGACAAGTCAATTGGTATCCCATCAATTCCTGGGGCCTTATTTTTTGCCAATGCCTCCAATGCAGCTTCCGTTCCCTCTTTCATGACCATTACCTTCTGTTCATATGTTGTTTCCTGAAATTTTTCAGTGTCAATCAGTTTTTTCTGGTACAGTGACTCTGTGTATTCCCTCCATCTTTTTTTGATGCTTTCTGTGTCATTCAATATATTGTCATAGTATCTTTCAACATTTCATTGTCCAAACACTTTACCCCAGCTTTCAATTAGATCTCAAACACCCACCAGGATCCAACGTCACCAAGCTAAAAGCTCGCTCACAGGTAGGACCAGACCAACTTTTAAATACAAAGGCCCACCCAGAAGATCCTGTTTGCCCACACAGAGGCTTCCCATCCAAGCTGATTATAAACGAGATCAGATATAGTTAATCAGCTTATACTTGATTGCTAACACAATTAGAAGTGTCCAGTTTACACCGGCTTTTAAGTAAATCACGTTTACCTACCAGATCCAACTTTGCCAAGCCTCATCACTATATTCACTTCACTTGGGTGTGTTTTCACAAGGAAGTACATCTTCAGAATGACATGAGATATACAGTTGATTGGATGTAACCACTTGTAGGTGGTTCCGTAATAGTGACTATTTAGGTGGTAACAAACCCCTCCCTCACCCCGGCCTCTAATTGATGAGACCTACTCCTTTTTATTGAATCCTATGTGTACAGAGTAGAGCTGTGCAACAAGGCTTTTTGCGCCATGGTCTTTTCAGAGGATCACTGGGCCTATCTTCTGAACCCCACCTCAGGGTAGGTTTGAACCGCTTACTTTTTGGCTCAAAGTCTTGAGCGTAATCTTTTGTGCCATTCAGGACTCCTATAACACCTTTTCTTTGCAGTGCTCTCTGTTTTCTTCTGTCAGCTTTCATTGGTGTAGCTCGCTAGGCAAAGTCTGTACAACTGGCTAGCTGAACAGAATTCTTAAGACATTTCTGCCTTTTTGTTTGTTTTGCTTTGCATTTACTTATTTTCCCCATCTTTTTCTTCAAGTTTATGAATGCATATCTTTTTTTAAAAAATACAATTTTTATTTTATACTGATTTACTTACAAGGTTCATATACATTGTTTTCCACACCAGATCTTTCCCATCATTTTCTTTACCCGTCCCTCCCTCCACCCAATGGATTGTACCACCTTATGATTAACCACTCCCCCCCTCGGTCCTCAACCCTCTGTTCCCTTCTCCCCCTCTTGGATCCTGATGAATGTATTTCTTAAACTATTTCCTTTCCTTCTCATCTATTAATTACTGTTTTTTAGTCTTTGCAAGATTAATATTGTTAAAAGAAAGCTTTCATGGGTAGAGTGACTTTTAGGAAATTAAGAAAAGCCCAAATCATGGCCTAGAGCGTGCCTTTCTGGAAGGTAGTTGGTTTGGATCACACCTGTGAGCTTCTTGGGTCTTCTCTCGAGAGGAGAGGAATCTTAGATCAGCTTGGAAGTAAAGTGATGTGTTCACTTAAATAGGAAGTATTATTCTGATGTGGTCAGGGAGCATTCCAGTAGCTCTGATCTAGTCTCATCCTAAGGACACTGAGGATAAGGTACCTCTCTCTGTGCTCTCTCTCACTCACTAGTTTCCATGGAATTTATTTAGGTGAGATAGCAAATAAAATGATTATTTATCTTGTTCGGTCAGGAGAGGTATTTTCTGTTCTTGGTGTCGTACTGTGTTTGACTAGGTTGTACTATGTCATCTTGGTCTCTCACTATTTTTTCATTGTATCAGACAGTTAAAGAATCTCATGAGTCCTAGAAATTCTCAGAGTTAATCAAATTTCTGTAGTCTCTATGAGAGCTAGTAATGAATGATATGGTATTACATGGTATTAATGGTATTAATGAATTGTAGTAATTTAACATTTTGTCTACTTCTGCCCCTATTACTATCTCTTTACCACTTACCATAAAATGGAGAAAAAAGCAGCACACCTGGAAACTATGTGCATAATGTCTTAGAAGCTCATCACATGATCAGAGCCTAGTCATATATTCGCTCTTAGTAGCCAGAGAGGCAGGAGGAATTAGTCTTAAGCTGGGATATCCAACAAAAATTTCTTTTAAAAGAAGAAAAGAAACATTGGGAGTCTGAGTAACAATACACTCTGGTGATCATTCAGCAGCAGGGTAAAGTTTAGTTTTGGAACAGTTTTATTGTTTGCTTGCTTTTCTAATTCTTCTTTCTTCCTTCCTTCCTCCCTCCCTCCCTCCCTCCCTTCCTTCCTGTAGAATTTTACACTGAAGTTAGCAAGCAAATGTATGATATTTTTACTTTTGGGAGTTGGAGTCAGATTTATCCCAATGATTACAGTGATGAATAAAAAAAAATCTATTAAGAGTTTGCTGTCTTTTCTTGGACTGTTTTCATGTCCATCTGCTTTCCCTCTCTTGAGCCTCTGGTCATACTTGATGCCTTTTTCTTTTTAGACATGGCACAGTCTCAAGGCTGGGTGAGAAGATACCTCAGGACCTTTTGCCGAGGCTTCTTTGTGGCTGTGCCCGTGGCTGTGACTTTCCTGGATAGAGTCGCCTGCGTGGCAAGAGTGGAAGGAGCATCGATGCAGGTAAACATGAACACACCTGTGTACCTTAGAGAACTGCAAGCGAGCTTTCGGTTTCTTTTTTATATGATAGGAACAGAAATTTAAAAAGGCCTGTAACTGAACTCTTTTTATAAAAAGCTCCTTACCTTAGGTCTGATAATATTCCAGAGGACCAGGTAGAAGCCATAGAAACACAGCACATTCTCACCAAACACCTATGTTCATGGCCTGGGCTAAGAGCTGAGGAATTCACAAACATTCACTGGATGTTGTACTTGCTCCCAGTCAGGAGATTGACTGTTTTATGAAAGAATGAGGCAATTCCCATTGGAGGAGCCAGTGAAGTTTGCCAGTCTGATAACCTGATTTGTTGTAGATCCGTAGTGTCCTGTAATATTCCTAGGATTGACCCGAAGGACTAAAATTTATTACCTTGGAGTTTTGATATATAATGTAGAATTTCCGTGGCTACTGGTTGCAAGAGAACAGCTTGGATTGACTTGAGTGGAAAAAAAAGGAATTTATTGGAAGGCTTATACTGTGTTCATGAGAAGGCCAAAAGTGTGCCAGTCCCCAGGGGCAACTGGAGCAAGGGAACGGAATGCTGCCAAAGGCATTCAGCCTTTGGTCTGCAGCTTGGCTTAGTTCTCCTAGACCATCTTTCTCCACATGGCAGGCACATTGCTCCTGGCACCTCTCACGCCTGTAGGTGCCCAGTTTCACCACCGTCCAAGAGAGATTTGAGTTTGAGAATTCTTCAAGATGCTCTGTGATTGATTCTGTTTGGACTGTCTGTGCTTATCTATATCCTGTACAAATTGACAGTGGCCAGAGTGGCGGGGTAGCTAGTACGATTAGCCCAGCCTTGGACCTGTGCGCACCTCCAGCCTGAAGCCAGGCTAAGTGGTGCTGAAGAAGACGATCTTCCTTATTTGTCACATTGTTATTTGTGAGTTGAGATAAGGGCAACAGTTCAGGGTAATAGTTCACATTCTTAGAGGAATCAAAAGAGAATAAAAGAGGAAAGGATACTCTGTAAAGAAAGGAAACATATGTTAACACGTTGTTGCCAGCAAATGACTGTAATACATGAAAGGAAAAAAAATGTGTGTTTCTAAGCACAGTCCTCAATTTAAAAGTGTGCAGCAACGTGTTAACTACAAACTCAGTCCTGCTATTTTTCCAGTCAATTCTGACTCATTTTGACTCTATAGGACAGTAGAACTATCCCAGAGGGTTTCAAAATACTGAGTCTGTAAATCTTTATGGGAGTCTACTACTGCAGCTTTCTCCTGGCGAACAGGTGGTAGGTTTGAACTTCTGACCTTTTGGTTAGCAGACCTTTGTTTAACCTACAGCACCACTCACGGCTCCATGTTGGATATGGTGTAGACTGTAGTGAATTGCACTGCTAACTCAAAAGTTTGAATCCACAAGCGGCTTTGCAGGGAAAAGGTGAGTAATCTCCTCACATGCAATTTACAGCCTCAGAAAACCAACCAGAAGATCAACTATGAGTCAGTTCCAACTTGACAGCAAAGAGTATGAGTATATATTTTATGAAATTAAATGGATTCTAGGTGTAACAGGTTATATTAGCTATCATCAACTCAAAATTGCTTTAAAGTAGAAATGGCAATGCTAAGATTTGGGTATTAACTAATGTAGCTTATTTGAAGACAGAGTTGCCACCATGTTCATTGATGAACTGAATTTCATCAAGGTCATCATCAAGATCATAGGGTTTGAGAGAATTCATAAGAGAATTCTTAGGCAGTTGGAATATTATTGTGTTACTGATTACTCAAATGCATAACTAGCAGACTGGAGAGATCCTGGGAGTCCTTGTGCATCCTGCAAGGAACACAACCTGCTATTCTTGACTCTTGAATCCTGAAAATTCTGCCTGATGAATGTCAGTGTCTCTGACACAGCTGCCCCCATTATCCTAGTCACTGTGTCAATCCATCTCCTCTGGGGTCTTCCTCTCCTGTGCTGTCCTTTCATCCTTACAAGAAGGATGATCTTCTCTAGGGACTGGTCCCTCTGGCCTCATTCCCAAAGTATGGGAGACAGAGCTTCAAAATCCTACCCTCCAAAGAGCAGCTTGGTTTCATTCTTTCTAGTTCAGAGCTTTTGTACACAGGGTTGCTGTGAGTTGCAGGCGACACGATAGTACATAATAAGAACGTTTTGTTTATTGTCTAACTCTTAGAACCATAGAAAGTAATTGAAAAGAACATGGCCTGAATCAGGCCCACTTTCGTTTTCAAACTGACACATTGCTTCTCAGTATTTTGGAGAGGTCCCTGATAGCAGACTTTCCCAACACGGTATGTCTTTTGATTTTGTGACTTCTGGGGCCAAGGGTGTTGATTGTGGAGCCAAGTAATTGGAAATTGCTGACAATTTCAATCTTTTCTCCATCTACCTTGATGTTTCCTATCGGCCCATAGGTGAGAATATTTGTCTTTTTGATTTTGAGATGAATCCATATCGAAAGCTTTGCATCAGTGTTTCAAGTCAGCTTTAAGTGAGCAGGGTTTTGCAATATGCATAATGCAGGTTGTTGATGAGTCTTTCTCCTATCCTGATGCCACATTCTCCTTCATAAGAGCCCAGCCTCTTGAATGATTTGTTCAGCATACAGGTTGAATAGGTATGGAGAAGAGAGACAACCCTGATGCATACCTTTCCTGACTTTACATCGTGCAGTGTTCCCTGGCTCTCTTCAGACAACAGCTTTTTGGTCTAGGGTTATCTGTCAAATGGCTCACTCATACACACCATTGCTGTAGAGTTGGAACCAGTTCATTGCTGACCTTCCATTAGGTTTCGGAGGCTGTAAGTCGTATGAGAGGAGACTATTCGTCTTTCTGCCCCTGAGTTACTGGTGGATACGAACTGCCAGAGATGCTCATCCTCTGTTAGTTAGAATTCCCACCAGAGCTCATTTGTCAAATGGCTAGTGATGGAAAACACTATCCTGGTTGCTGTGAGGGGCTGATTTCTCAGACGCAGATTCTGACATCAAGGAGCCTTAACTTCAGTAGAGGAAATGAAGAGATTGTTAATCCTAGATGGTAGATAACATCTTTAAATAAGATTAATGTTGAAGCTGTCAAATACATGCTTGATGAGTGCTTGGTACTTCCTGAAAGGAAAATTTGTTTTATTTAGTGAATTATTTTGGAGAATGAGCCTGGAAAGTTTAATTTGGAGTGGAGTGGTACGAGAAAAGGTCAGCCCTTATGGAAGGAGCCATTTGGCAAGGCAGCTCTGGTGGCCTAGTGGTAAGAAACTGTACTGCAATTTCAAAGGCGTGGAGTTTGAATCTACCCACTGCTCTGTGGGAGAAAAGGTTGAGCAGGCTTTTCCATGCTGTTTACTGCCTCTGAACACCCACTGGAAAGTCAACTATAAATCAGTTCTGACTTGACGACAAACAGGAAAGAAGGAGCAGGAGCTAGAGGAGTTTCCCTCTTTTATGGGAGATTGCAGGACATAAGAATTTAAGTGGAAATATTCAGCACATTTTAAAAACTTCAGCTTATGGGCCACTTCAGTTGACAGTGTCACAAATGAGAGCCACATATAGGCAAGGGAGTAGAGAGGAAGCTCCCACTCATTTGCTTTAAGTGTGGCTCTGAAGGACACTTGGCCAAGGTGGCCCACATCAGGTCCTCGTGGCAGACAGGACTGACAGGCTCCAGCTCCCAGCTGGAAACAAAGGAGGACGCTTCAACGATTTAGACCCTCCCAGAAGAGCTGTGGGTGAGCATTAACGTTACTGGTAAAGTATATTCATTTTCTCCTGGACACAGAGCCTACTAATTGGTCCTAAAAACATTCTGAGGTCCCAACTCTTCTCACTGTTTCTTAGTTGTTGGAATGGATGGAAAACCTCATGAGCAGTTCCTTACTTTACCTCTACCTTGCATTTGAACTTCCGAGTTGTAAAACAACCCAGTGGTAGATGGAATTTCCTCCAGGACTTAAGAAGCATAAATGACATAGCTGAGCCTCTACATCTTGTGGTTCCTAACCTGTGCACTATAATAGACAAAGTGCTAGTCTATAGGCCTTTTATTGTAAGAACCACCTTCCCTCTGTAACTTGATTTGTGCCACTATTAGAACCTCTACTCAGCATATTATTGCTTTTTAATTTTTTACTCATGTACTTTTAACTTGTTAGTTAAATTTGTATCTTCTAGGCTGCAACAGTTCCATGATACATCTTCAAGGATATGAACATGTACGGCTAAGCACAATTGATAACAGTGAATCTAAATTCCAAAATAAATCTCTATAATAGTCTATATGTTTCCTACTGCTAAAGGGGCCCTTTAGAGTAATGAGAGAAGATCTTCACCCTGAAACCTACAGCGTCCCTTTTCAGCAGGAAGTAGCTAAGAGAATACACCATTCCCTTTTCCTTATGAATCAGGGTGACGTGTCTCTCAGGGAGGAGAGATAGGGAATGGCAAAGGACACACTGACAAAGGAGATTAATCAGAACTGGCTTTGACAAGCACTGTGGCAATTGGACAATTAAAACAGACATTCAGGGTGGGGGGGAAGAAGAACGAACTAGGGAGAAGGGTAGAGAAAACAGTGCAACAATGAATGAATGAAAACCCAAAATCTCTGTAAATGTTCACTAAAACTAATAAAATTTAATAATAATTAAAAAACAAAACAAAACAAAAAACCCAAAAAATCTCAGCTTAGAACTTCAAAACTTTTCTCTGTCTGCATTCCATTTGGGAAGTAACTTCTGCCCAGAGAAGTATGTCCCACCCACAGGGAAGCCATGGCAGTGATGGGGGTAGGGAGGGAAGAAAAAAATTTGTTAAAAGTAATTACATCTACCACAGGCAGTGTGGCTTCTAGTATGTATGGTTGATTTGATGTAAAATCAAATATAAAAATTTGAGTTCTTTTCCCTTTTGAATCTCCTTAGAATGACTCCAGTCTTTATAGGCCAAGACTGGCAACATGGGAAGAGACTGACATTCT